TGAAAATTTTTGATTGATTCAGAGCTTTTTTGATTTGATTCTTATAGTTGACAGTTCAAGCTTTAATTTAAGACTAATTAGAGATTTCTAGCACCTCGGCATCATTCTCTACACGTGATAAAAAAAGGCCAAAAACATGGTTTTTTGAGACTTTGAGTCCATTTTTCTCAAAATCTCGACGTGATGGGCACTTTTGGAGGTCAGATTCGTGTTCAGCGATGAAAATCCTATAAGACTATCCTTGTCCGATCTTTGAATCAGAAAAAAAGTTATTTTTTGTCGACCAGTGTTATTATAATTATATAACACTATAAAATTTATAGTGCCTATGAGGTTCAGAATGAAAACGAGACTCCCGATATAAATGCGACGGAGAACACAGAGACTGATTTACCGGAAGAAGAATACATAAATTTAATTGCGATCTATTTAAAAATCACTTTGATCAGTGTAGATCTGTTGCTACTTTTTTTTAAATGTCCTGAACCTTATTTATTTAAAAATCTTAAATATTAAAGTTATTAAATTGAAAATTATTTTAAATAATATATTAAAGTTATTTAATGTATAATGACAAAAATATAATTATTTTAATAACAAAATAAAAAGTTTTAGTACTAATTAAGCATATATGAATTTTTTAAATATATATAAATATATAAAATTTTATTATAAAAATTGTATAATATATATTTTTGTATAAGTTTATATATGAGGCATTCCATTTCAAAACGACCCCCTTCGTAAACAATTGCCAATGTAAGACAATTTTTAAATGAATATTTCTTCCATTCTGTAGAACCAAATTACTTTTTATATTAGTGATTTCGAAAGTAGAATTTCTGAACTTTCTGATAATAAAAAAATATATTTTTTTAATAATTTAATTTAAATAGAAAATTGAGTTTAAAAGTTAAAATTTGAAAAATCTCAAAACACGTTACCTTTGATTTTAATAAAATTCATATCAAACGAAAGCTTGAATATTCTTCTTTTTATTTATCAAACGATAATAATGGACATTTCAGTGGATTTTAAGAAAATAATTAAATTTCACAAACATTTCGAAGGTTATTATGCATAAATTGGGAAAAACAAATGCCGCCCTATACTTAATAAATGCTTTTCTCAATATAACCTTCGAAATGTTTGTGAAATATAATTATTTTCTCAAAATCCACTGAAATGTCCATTATTATCGTTTGATAAATAAAAAGAAGAATATTCAAGCTTTCGTTTGATATGAATTTTATTAAAATCGGAGGAAACGTGTTTTGAGATTTTTCAAAGTTTAACTTTTAAACTCAATTTTCTATTTAAATTAAATTATTAAAAAAATATATTTTTTTATTATCAGAAAGTTCAGAAATTCTACTTTCGAAATCACTAATATAAAAAGTAATTTGGTTCTACAGAATGGAAGAAATATTCATTTAAAAATTGTCTTACATTGGCAGTTGTTTACGAAGGGGGTCGTTTTGAAATGGAATGCCTCATATATATAATTATATTTAAAAAGTCCCGCGGTTTTTGGGCTACGTCAGCGCCTTCTATCCGCGGTTTGTCGTGCTAAAAATCTGGCAACCCTGGTTTCAGATGTATAAAGAGCTTTGGATTTATCGTTCATTATTTTATATTTATCAGATACATTTGACATGCTTGTTTAGAGATCTTAAGTTTCGGCTTTTCTCTCTTGGGAAAAGAATTTCCACTTATTTCTTGCTGTGCGTGAAAGAGACCTTTCAAGTCTATTGTAATTTGACACTCCACTTCAGTAGTGATGCATAACGAGACTCTATCCTTTCATAAAAGGAAAGAGACTTTTAAACTCAAAAAATCGACGCCTTTCGTTCATATAATGCCTATAGAATTTTAAATAAGACTTTTCTTTTGCACGGAAAATCGAATAAGAATTATTTTACACCAAAAGTGAATTAGAATGATCTTGCATTTGTATTTCTGTAAGCATTATATGAACAGGAATCGTCGAAATAGTGGTGAACACTAAGATAAAAAAATTGAAGAAATAGATAATAATAATAACAAATAAAAGAATAAATAATAGAAGTAATAAAAAATGAAAAATAAAGTTATAATTATCATAATTAATAACAAATATTTATTTATTTATGACGTTTAAAAATTTAATCAAATATTGGAAAACGTCGATTTTACAAGTGAAAGGGTGGTTATATTTGTTTTCAATAAAATAAAGACTTAAATTCACAATACCTAACCAAAAAAATATTGACAAATCAGAAAAACAAATCAAATCAATCAAAACATCAGAAAAATATATTCAGAATTTCTGGTGTTTTGGTAGTATTTCTTACAATTGCATCTCAAAACTTTAAAATAAATATAACCCTTAAAATCTTAACTATAATTTTTTTAAATAACAATAAATAAATAATATTAATTAAAATAATAATAAATAATAGTGATTTAGAAAATGAAATAAAATGTAATAAAATTGTTTGTTAAATAAATAATAATAAAAACATAAAATACTAATTAACAATAAGAAATAATTACAAAATAAAAAATAATAATAAACAATTATAATAGATTATTATAAGTATTAAATAACAATAATATAATAATAATGATAATAACTACTTGTAAATAAACAATAATAACAATAAATAAATGTAAAAAAATTTAAATATATCAGTTATAATAATAATAATTATAGATTTTTTCTTTTTCTATTTACAGAATTGAATGTGTGGAGGGGGGAGTTGTATGCTAAAATTAATGCGACCATTTATGCTCCATTGGAAATTTTAATTTATTCCTCGTCGAACTATGATCAGCTGAGGGAGTACATGGAGAATTCAGTAAAGGTTTTCGTGTTAGCTAAGACTGCGATGACTGACAATCCAGAATTCCAGAATCATATGATTCAACCATACGCAAGTGTGACGTCCAGGCATGTTGGGATCACAAGTCCTTCCTAGCCATTTTTGCTATATAAATTAATTATCATCAATTACTAAATATTGGGATGCAGAAAGTATTTTTAGTAATAAGCTATAGTATTTTAACATATTTTCTATATTTGTATACTTTTACACTACTACTACGAAAGTTATATCAAACTAATTTTAAATATAAAGAATTATATTTCTGTAAATTAAACTCTTACTTATTATCTTTAATTTTTTTTGTTATAAATAGATCATTAGGTTCGCATGTGTGTGAATGTGTATTGCAAGTATTTGACTTTTAATGTAATTTAATTTAATTGATCATCCATTTCTTTTAATTGCATATCTTGAAAATACGTACTTCCATCTCTCTTTTTTTTATTTTACAATATCAAGAAAACTATATTCTTTTTACAAGAGGAAAAACCCAGGGAGAAGTGCCGATTTGTTGAGGGGTCGTTATCTACATAAAAATTTTCAGTTTCCATCCTCTCTTTTCAAGACAAATCCCTTCAAAGAAAATTCACATTTCAATCTTAATACAGTTGCGAAAAATAAACATTAACCATCTCAGTGTAATAACAAATTTTTCAAGATTTAATTCGAGGTTCATAGAATTCAATAGTATGCAATAAAAGAGCGATCGTTATGGGCCTAAAATAACATAATAAACGGATCATCCGTTCAAATGGGACTAGCTAATTCTTTATCCCAAGTACGCCTACAAACGAACAATTTGCTCTTAATGGCATCACAGGGTCCCAAGTAACCCTAAAAATTACGAATCTTGATGACGTTATTTACGTCATAATGCACTACCAAATATGGTCATAGTTCGCACATTTTTTTCCTTTCCTAACCTACCTATGAATTGGAGTGGGGTAATTTGGCTTTTTTCGGCATCAGCATTTTTCCTTGCAAATTTTCCGGCAGTCTTAAATTTCTCTTAGTTGGGGAATAAACTACCCTTAACTTTTCTCTTTTCATATTGCTCTGCTTGGCAGACTTTAGAGGCACGACCTATTCGGATTCGCATAAATTGTAACGCGGTTTTGAGTTAATTGTTTAAATTACTCAAGTTTGTTATAAAGAGAAGCAAATAAAGAAATAATTAAAGTTTAGTTTTTTACGATTAATAAAAATTATCAATCTTCTACACAAGTAACTGGAAATCAGGAGATCAAGGAAATTGTTAAGTAAAGTAAAACCTTTGTAATTCTAACAAAAATCTCAGGCATTTCAAATAAATAATATAATTCTCATAATTTATCTTTTTAATTTTTTTTAACCAATTCACAAAAATTTACAAGGTGAGTTTTAACTCTTTGTACAGAGCAAGATCCCGCTATATAGTCTCTTTGCTGCTCGAGAGTCTATAACTTTTAATAAAATTCAATAATCACAGTGATTACCTATCACTGTGACGTAACGCAAGGATCGGAGATTTCTTATTAGAAATTAAAGAATTCAAAGATGGGCACATTTTTAAAGAAGTTGCCAATATGTAATTGGAGTGTTTTCAAATATATACATTTACAGGATGTGTAAACACTAAAAAATTTTATGTGTATTTTTTTTCTCAAATATTTTTTTTCATACCTATTTCATTTTATTATATTATTATTAAATGAGAAATTGTTTTTAAGATTTGCCAACCTATTTTACAGCAAGATATAAGTAGATAATATTTTTACAATAAAATCTTGAATTTAAATTTTTTTAAAAATCAATTTAAAAAAATTATTATATTTTTATTAAAGATTATTAAAGATTTTTTATGTCAGAAATTAATGCATTAAAAAATAATCAGTTTAATAATTAATACAAGATTGCGGAAGTTAAATTATATTTTTTAAAAACAGGTAAGTATTATTTATCTATCATAATTACATAACATTTTTCAAATTGCAGGTTATGTTTCTAATTTTACTTATATAATATTCTTTATACACTTAAAAATTAAAATTATTATTTAAAAGTTTATGAATAAAAATAACTAAGAATTTTAATTTTGAAAACGCTTTTATTTTTATTAAAAGTTTTACATTGAAAAATTACATATTACATATTACTGTAGACATGGATTTGATTACTCTTTTCGATAATTTTTAATATTTAGAACCTGATACATTTTATCTACTTTGTCTTTCAAATCATCTACTTTTAGGTTAATCACACCATCCCATCTATCCTTGAAAGCGAATGTTGAAGAATCAATTTCTATAACTTCAACTTCATATCCATTATATTTTATAAAAACATCATCCTCTCTTGTACTTATATTTTTATGTTTTTCTATTATCATATCTGCTGCCGTAGATTTCGTTTCGTGAGTTTCTTTTAAAATGTTTGGATATGCTTTCATTTCTGCTGCAGTCAAGAACAAGTAACTAATATCGTTTACGTTTTCATCGTTTATATCCCAATCTTTTGGAATATAAAAAGTAACCATGAAATGTTTATAATTATCTTTATTCTGAAACAAAAAGCAGATTACATAAATAAATAATAAATAATAAATAATAAATAATAAATAATAAATAATAAATAATAAATAATAAATAATAAATAATAAATAATAAATAATAAATAATAAATAATAAATAATAAATAATAAATAATAAATAATAAATAATAAATAATATATAATAAATAATAAATAATAAATAATAAATAATAAATAATAAATAATAAATAATAAATAATAAATAATAAATAATAAATAATAATAAATACATTTTTTAAATTTTGGTACTGTTTTTAAATTTTTTTACACACCAAAGCAACATCCATAGTGCAATTGATTTTTCTCAACTAGAAGCCAGACAGCATGGATCGCACTTCCGCCCAGATTTTACCAGTAAAAGGAACTTCATAATTTATGACATTTCGAATATCGCACTGTTCATCATAATTGATTAATTTTGAAAATTGTCTTTATATATTTATTGCAATATTGTTGTTATATTGAAAAAATATGAAAAGGCGCAAAATGGCACATATTGGTGTCAAAGTAGACATGCTAAGTAATCGTTGTATAACTTGTTTTCACAAATATTATGCGGCTCGGAGGAGCTCGACTAACTGAAAGTCGGCACTCTTTTGAAAAATCCACTATTTGTTAACTTCAATGGAGCTACATTTTAATAAATTTTTTTTAAAGTAACTATAGGTTTTTTTACTTCAATATATATCTGTTGATGAGAAAAAATAAGTACTTATACAAAAATAATTAATTTATTTCTAGATATATTAAGTATTTCAATCAAAAATATTTCATTATTTTAGCTTAAATGTTAAACTTTATATAGTTCTAGAAGACACAATTTTGTATTATTTAACAAATCCTTTATGCAATAAATTCCTTATTTAGTATTAAATACTGTGGATAAATTCTTTTGTTCGTATTTGAAAGTTGAAAAATTGTATTTTTGGCCAAAATTCGACGATCCTGGCCCACTGTGCAGTAGTATTAAACGGTTTTTTGTGTCGCTGATTACGAATGTGATGTCAGATTTCAAAAATTCAAAATGGCGTATCAAATATGGCGGAGATAAAAATTTTAATATCAACAAATTCGAATTAAACATAGGTATCTATGGTTTTTTTGTGTCGCTGATTACGAATCTGATATCAGATTTCAAAAAATCAAAATGACGGTCATAAAAAATTTTTAATTAATCAATTTCAATGAAACATAGGTATGTAGCTAGGTTTTTCAGGTTGCTGATTACGAATCTGTTGTCAGATTTTAAAAATGTAAAAATGAGCACTGTGTTTCTGAAATCAGATTTAGATATGAAATGGAGTGTTTATACATTTTATTTTTGTAGGCTAATAACAAGAAATTTTTTTTTATTTTCTGAATTTTATAGACACTAGTTTTGTAATCACCAAACTTAAAAACTCCCAAGCAACAAATTGTAGGCGAATCTTATTCAATCTAAAATCCACTTGAATTCTTTCACCAGATTTGTAATCAGCGACCCAAAAAACCTTTAGATACTTATGCTTCATTAAAATTGATTCATATAAAAAATTTATGTCCGCCATATTAAATCCGCCATTTTGAATTTTTGAAATCTAACTTCAGATTCGTAATCAGCGACACCAAAAACTGTAAGGAGCATACTTGTTATTCGTAAATATCTTGTTTTTGTAAATAATGATTTTTGGACAAAAATCGACGACCCTGGCCCACTGTGAGATGCAGCGACATCAGCGGCGTACATCGAAAGGGAAGGAAAATCAATCAACAGGTAAGTCGATAATTAAAAAAATTGCTTTTTCCAGTTGCAGCAACAACGGAAGCGTACTTCTGAGGGGAGAATTTTTTTAACTTCAAAGTCTTGTAATACAGTAGTTTTAAGGTTTTGCTACTCAGTTTTTGAAAAATTCGCCAAACTCAGAAAATTCAATGAACAATTACTCAGAGACAAATGAAGATTTTTAAAATTTTCAAAATAGATATTAAAGGGGAAGAGTAGGGCCTTTAGATGCAAAATTGACCTTTTAGAGAATAAATTAACTCTTTTTGTTACATGACACCAAATATAACTAAAAACAGTATTTTTGTCCTTTTAGGTTAAAATATCTCGAAAACCTGACGTGCAGGGTCTTTTGGTATTATCTACAAAACTTACAATAAGAGTTGCGTTGTCTACCGGGGATAATGGTTATCGGCTGATGGAACATTCACGTTTTAGATGTTCGTATCGTAGATATGTTATCCGTCACTTGCAAGACCTTCAATAGGTACGAACGTTAGTCGAGATGTCGTTTGTAAATGAAAATTTGGCGACTTTTCTTTAAGCAGCAAAAGTAACGTGCACTGAAAGAGGAATGAGATGCTTTTAATCATTAGAGGAGTTTCCTAATTTGTTAACAGTTTTTTACTGGAGTGAGTTACCTTTTTCAAACTTTTATAGAGGAATATTTATTCCTACTGCCTGTACTGACTCGCTAAAAACATGTTAGGCACTTGAAACGTATATCACTTTGGAAAAGATTTATAAGTGTATTCTGAATTGAGTACAAGTGCAATAATTATATACCATTATATATTGCATTATTTTCTTTACAACTTAGGGGAGATTGGAGAATTGTGGGCCACCTACATTATTTAATAATATTTACAAGTTTGATCATCCAATTTTTCTTTCGTTTTCTTCTGTTCGTCCAAAGTAAATTTTTCATTAGCATTTTATGACTTTACAACGCTTTACAATTACCTACAAACCGTTAACAAAAACCACCTGAAAAATTTCATTCAAATATTTATTTTAGGCCTTCATGTTTTTATTGTTTTTACAAGGATTTTCAAGAATTAATTATGGAAAATAGTTTTTTAATTATTGTGTCATTGGTACTTTGACTCCAAAAAGAAATTTTGCATTAAATTAAAATAAATAAATAATACAAAGCTTTTGTAAAATGAAGCATTTGGGGAAATGTGGGCCACTTTTTTTGGGGAAGTATTTTTTGCTTGTTTTTGGCGATTTAATTGCAAATATTATTAAAATCACTCATAGTTATAGTAATTTAACAAAAACAATTATATTCATTGCGATTCAAGCGATAGAGCTGTTCACTTAAAATGTGTATTTAATTGAGCCTATTTTACTTGTCTAAATTGTGATTCCGATTAATTTCATTTTTTTACTTTTTCTTTTCTAACTTTAATTAAACATTAATAACATTTTATAAATTTCTAACCATTTAATAAATATATTTCATCGTTATTTTTTATTTTGAACTCAATTTAGGCAGTGGCCCATAATTCCCCAACATTTTTAAAAATCATAAAAGAGCACTCTTTGGTAAAACTGAAATTTCTTTTAGATGAGTGATAATATTGATAAACTGACTATGATTTATGATAGTTAAGACCTTCTACTGACAAGAAAAATTTAAAGATTTAAAAAAAAATTTGTGTAAGATATTGAGCTAAGAAAAAGTGTGGCCCACAATACCCTAATCTCCCCTACAATAAATACGAAAAATTTTATTAAACAAGAGTTGAAGTGTAACAGATGAAAATCCTTATAATTATAGAGTAGACTGTGGCGAGATTAAGACTTTTCACTTTTTGAACTGTAACGCCGAATATAGAGCTAATATAGACAAAAACAAAAAAGTTTGAAAGATAAGTACTTTGACTACATTTTATTCTATTTACGCATCTTCCGATCTTGTCATGATTCGGAGCTATAGTCATTTTAATCGACCCTTAAAAATGGAGATGTCAACCCAATATTTGGGGTCAGATCACTCAAGGTATATGTGCACACTGTCATTAGTATAAGTGACGAGAGAGATGAAATTTATAAGTTGTAAAATACGAAAATAATAGCTAAAATTTGATCTCGGCTAGTCAACTGTACACATGCCTACTATTCATGAGAATGCACGTGAACTTGCACATGTTTTTCACGTATTCAACATGTTTTGTGTTTATGTCATTACAGAAACTCTACAATGCTTAAGAGAAAAAATAAATGTTTACATTTAGAACATGTTCAGTTTTTTGTTCCCACACAGAACTGAGAATTTCTTGAAACACGACAGGACTTCGTCTAACGAGGTTAGAAACATTGAAAGGTGAGGCTCATGGAAAAATGTGGTTATTTAAATGTCCACATATAAGGAAATATTGAATACAAAATTTAAGCGAAAATTATACTGGAAATATTAACTAGACGTATTTAGGCAATATTGCATGCAATATTCACCTAATTATTATAATTTTACGTATAAATGTACTTTTAACGTTTCAAGTTCTAAAACCGTTTTTAGAATATGAAAATGTTTTAAAATAACAATTTCGTAGACATGAGATGTTCTAGAAACGTTTCTCGAATATGTCCATGTGCATTCACATAATTTTGTTCCTGAAAATGTGCATGCGAACAAAATTATGTGCATGCATATATGAACATATTCGAGGAACGTTTCTAAAACAGCTCATGTCTACTTTATTGACATATTAAAAAGTTTTATGTTCTGAAAACGGTTTTGGAACATGAAACGAAAATAGTATGTTCATACAGAATCCGAATCTGGCAACGAAAACCTCCCATCAAGTCAGAATTTTGAGAAAAGTGGGGGTCAAAAATTATTTTTTAACAGTTGTCAAGTATAAAAATTGACTGACGCTGTCCGTAAATAAAACTATTTGAAAAATGATTGAATTCACTTAAAATTTGTTACTCAGGGGTTTTTGGGATCGCTGATTACGAATATGCTGTCGGATTATTAAAATTCAAGATGTCGGATCCAATATGGCGGCCTTATTTTTCAAAATTGATCAAATTCACTTGAAACTTGTTACTCGGGGGTTTTTGGGGTCGTTGATTATGAATCCAACTACAGATTTTTTATTTTGACATCATATTTGTAAGCAATGACCCCGAAAACCCCAAAGTAATAAATTCTAAGCGAATCCAATTATTTTTTAAAATAATTGTATTTACGGACTGTGTCAGTCAATTTTTATGATTGCCAACTGTTAAAAAAATCATTTTTGACGGCTAATTTAGTTTGTTGTCAGCAATATCGCTTTATTTTCTTAAAGTACAGGGTTCAGGCTTTAATTTTATTCCTATGACAAGTCTCTAGCACGTCGGATTTACCCGATAGAAATTTACAAAAACATCAAAAAACATGATTTTTGGGAATTTACCCCCACTTTTCTCAAAATCCTGACGTGATGGGAGGTTTTCGTTGCCAGATTTGGATTCAGTGCACCAAATACTGCGGGAAATGACTTCTCGATCTCAGACAACGGAAATTTTTATTTTTTTGCAGGCTTGTGATTATCAATGACGAAATTTTAATAATTAGGCGAATATTGCCTAAACATGGACAGTTAATATTGTCAGTGTAATTTTCTCTCAAGTTTGATATTCAATATTTCCATATATATGGGGCAAAATTTCTCAACTGTCCAGGTCAAAAAATGAATTTTCTCTAAACTTT